TTAATAAACCCCGCTTAGGTTGAGTGTCTTAATGAAGCGGCCGCAAAAAAAAAAAAAAAATCTACCCTCCCTCGGCCCCCCCACACCTTCTTATCTCTATCTCTTCACGTCTTGCACTGCCGTTGGTTTTATTCTTTTAATTATTTTTTCCACAAAAATCCTATTGGTTTTGAACCAGGGACCTTCTGAACACTAAGCTGATGTCTTACCCCTAAGCCACCAGCGCCGTTGAAATGTTCTTTCTTTAATCTTCCTCTTGAGCTACATCTTCGGTTATATTCAAGAAAAATCTTATTTAACTCCACTTGTATTTTATAAAACTTTCGTTGGTTCCGAACCTTGGAACTCCGTTACATTAGGCCAGTACTTTACCAATGAGCCACCAATGCAACGGATTTTTATAACTTTAATCTTCCTCTTATGTTACATCTCCCTATATAAGTCCATAAAAATCTTATTACAAAAATACTTGTGTTTTCGAACCACGGACCATAAATTTACAACGCCGGTGCCTTGCCTCTACACCACCACATCACTCTGTGTAACCTCACTGCGATCGTCCTCATATTCTACGACTTGGTTTATAGCTGCAGAAAAATCGTATTTATTTATTCACTTTTCAATTTCTATTGACAAAAGACACCGTGGTCTCGAACCCGTACCTTCCCAATACCACGCCAATGTCTTACCCACGTACCCCCAGATATATACAAATTTGTTACCTTCGCCTTCCTCATATAGTACGACTTGCTTCCTACATGCACAAATTTATTCTTTTTTTTTCTTCACGAAAATAGTCATGTCTTCGAACCACATAACTTCTAAACCATACACCTTACCTCTAGACCACCGGCCACCCTTCTTGAGTAAAACCCTAATAGATTAATTAAAATGATACCGAATGAACAACAGCAAAAAAAGAATATACGTATGAGTTATGCCCAAACTCATCCACGAGCCAGTACTATTATTGCAGATTAATAAAATATATAGTAAAATTCGATGTAACACCCGTTTTTTGTTATCTGCTTGATGTATATAATAGGCTGAAATGAAACTATAGTATTCGATGTCACCATGAACGCACAGAAAACAGATCGCACTCTGTATCTCAACCACGATGCAACTGTCTGTTCACGACCCTAGAGAGGGCAATGATCACTTGCAGGTATAACGAAAGAAGGGACCCCTCTAGCTTTCTCTTGAATAGCCATTCTTTCATTCTTCTGTCCTTCAGTCAAAAGATTCGAAAATCCAAAGAGTGTAAGCAGTGCTAGCAGAAGACCAAATGATTTTATTGCTTCCATCAGTTTTATGACACCAGGGAGCGCTAAAATTTGTCAAGTGTTACAAAGAGAAATGAATTTATAATGCAGAACAAGTCTGTGAAGAACTGGGAAACAATTTTTGCAGTTCGGATCAAAATTAAAAGAAAAAAAAAACGAGAATAGAGTATAACTCTTTGTCTAAAAATTTTCAAATCTTCCATTATAATATGCGACACTACGAGCAAAGTTAATTCCATCCATTTATCATAAAAATTGAGTTATATACAGCATTCTTAAACACAATGCTTAAAATTGTTTAAGCCCCAGCAGGAAGGGACATTTAAACCCAGAGTAGCAACTGACATTTAAACACGCACCAACAGCGGGCATTTAAATAAACTCCGGCCAGCTCAAGCTTACCACCATTTCATAAGTCCAGCGTTTAAAGGAATGTTACATATATATATGCAGCAAGCAGCACCCCGTGCTGGCCGAATGTTTATACACTTGATCATCGATTTACAACCAACTTCCAACAGGTCGTATGTCGGCCCTATATTTATTAACAGTATTCTTTAACCTTTGTAATCTTTTTACCATCTTTATAATTTATTTTAAAAACTCTTACCTTTTAATCGTTTTCTATTTTTCATTTTTTTGTGGTCATAAGTCGACGACCAAGTGTATGTGTGTGTGTGTCTATATATATGCCGCAGGACACGTGCTCTCATTGAGAGTGCTGACAGTTTGAGCTTGGGTTTGAAACCCAAACAAACCCATGCAAGGTCATGTCAGAGGTTCATTTGTTAGCTCTGAACAATGAAATCGTTTATCAGTATTTGTGGGCGCGGCCCATCACCCGGAAAGGGCCTTCCATGAGGTTTTAGTGTCAAGTGTTCAGGTTTACTGATTAAATAGCTGCGTGATGTTAAGGGTGGCATGTGAGGGTTCCCACGCTTCCATAATCTCGTCCCCAATACCTCCTGACCTAACCTATAAAATTAATTCTTCAGAGGAGCGGTTTGGACAGCCCAATAAGGGAGACAATAAGAAACTAAGATGCTACATTTTTGACTACACTTCGTGGTTTTCCACGAGGTTTCAGTCTCGAGTGTTCAGGTTTTACTCCACAGATGGTGCTACAGTTTTTATTTCATATTTTCTTGTTAACTCACACTGAATTAGCATGGTCTCAAGTGATTAAAATTTTGTTCCCCATCTGTCCAAAGTATTATAAACTTCTTTATGCGTAACCTACATGTTACATTCTTAGTCTCACGAATGAAAATGCTCTACCACAAAATGTAACTCCACTGCAGCCGTATTCAATAATCCTTTCATAAACTGAACTCTGCTTCACTTTGCATTCTCTCATTACAATACCCTTCAGTGTCTCCATTTTCTAGCACTTTCACATGCAAATGTTTCAACTCCTTCCTCAACAGGATTACTTCATTCATCTGTCCCTTCTTACATGCTAATACCAAATTCACAATATATTAATATACTCATACTTACCTTTCTCGGCACTTTCACCACCAACACTTCTGAACATGTCCATTTGTATCTCACACCTGCCATACCATTAACATATTTCCACAACACTTCACACTCCAAAATTTTGCTGTAATTTGACCAAGCCTCAACACTTCACATAAATTCCGACTGTACTGCCTGCTTTGCATCCCGACCTACACCCATTCCTATCCCCTTCCGGTGGAATCCTGTACGCCCTTACTGCAATGAAAAACACTTCCTACAGAAATTGCAGTCCATGGGAGCCACTTTTCTACCATTTGTGACACACCATCAAAACTTACCACTTACACATCCAGAAAACTACATGTGACAACACGAAACACTCCAGGATTGCCAGGCTATGGATATATCCTAAGCATTTTCACCAAGTACATAATGTCCAGGTACTGTGCAACTTTGTACATCAAGTACTCAGCCTTCACAATATTCAGACGCTACAAACTGCAAAACGAGCTATACATGCCATATTTACTCTGTGCCTTAAATTATAACAAATGTGATACACCACTGACCTCTCTTCGCATGCTTAATCTCCCCCCAAAGGGTATCTTCCCTGTCCTGCTGCAACTATTTATCTTCCCTAAACCCTTTGACCTGTAATCTTATCATTTCATCATTTCCAAAACAGTTCATTCAGTTTCTTTGCCAGACACCCTGTACTGCAACTCTTTATCAGTTACCCAAAGAGTAATTGCATACTGAGCAGAAATCATCACAAAATGTTTCATCAGTATACGTATGTTTCCGAAGATAAAAGGAACAGTTTGAGTTTCTTTATGAGGCAGGAATAACTGGCATTGTCTCAGTATGAGAGAGGCATAATTGTCATTTCCAGGGGACAAACGATATAGTTGCCTGGAAAACAGTTATGACTGCAAAATTTTGGGTGATAACTGTTTCCAATTCAATATTAAGAAGCTTGCTTTTGAATCTGTGACAATATCATTTGGTCATTTATAACACGTAGGGAATGGAAACCACATCAAATCAGTTAAGAGCAACATAACTGGTAACTCATTAATCTCTCTGTAAACTTTATTTTGCCTTTGTCAAATGCTTGGTCCATGTATGTTTAGGACATACAGTACAGCAACAAAAGACAGGAAGCCTGCTTGCCAAGTGGACACAAGAGCCATACCAGGGCACCAAAAATACTAATCCACCTTCTTAAAAACACAACATTTATCTGCCCGCCAGATTTTTAAAAACTTTTGTACCCCAATCATCTCTCAAAAGTTTCACATGTGAAACAAAAACCATACTGCATGGGCCCTCTGGAAATATCATGACAACTACTCAGTACTACTATTTGTAACATACAGGACTGTGAATGAATTCTTGAGTCTCATCATGAGGCATTCATCAAGATCATTCAAAATAAGAACACAAATTGCATTAATCTGAAATATTCTTGTCTTCTGTGTCAAAGCACACGAGATCAAGCTTTTAATCACATAGAAAAATATGCCTCTGGCAAGCAACCGGACATATACTTCAAAAACTCAGCCCTATTTTACTCCATGCACAACATTCAGTTACACTCAAAAAGGGGTATCCATACAGTCAGACGCAGTGGATAATATAAATTCTCTAGATCAGAACCAACAATTACTATCTGCAACTTGTCAATATGACGAACATATACAATTTTTACCATCAACGCAAAAATATTTTATTATTTATTTATTTATTTATTTATGTAGCATGCACTACATGTTTTGACCTCAAAGGGGTCATCTTCAAGTGCTACAAGTTTCAAAATAAATAAATAAAAAAACAATAAAGTATTTTTGCATTGATGGTAAAAATTGCATAAGTTCGGAACAGTATGCAATCCTTAAAAATTGTTATTATGAGTTCAAAAATTTTGCTGGGACATACAGGCTATATCAAGCACACACTGCCTAAGCATTTCAACATTATTATGCATGTAAATACACACATATTTATATGAATGTACATAGCACCACCGCTATCACGCCTAGAATATGCAATGCATATCAGCCTTCTGTATCACATGAAAATAACAATATTACTGAATATATCACATTTTTCAGTGAAGGTTGTATTTCTTTGCATTAAAGATATTACCTGGCTACTGACTGCTGAAAATAGTGTACATATTAAAAATATCACCTCTTTCATTAATGCTTTACTTTCTTAGCAAACATTACATGTTAAAATTATTTTACATAGTGATATATACTATCTGTAAACATGACCTCCTGTGTCAGTGTTCTTGATAATAAATCACAATCACATTTATAACATAACATGATCAATAGTATGATAGTGATAAACATTTAAAAAACTTAACATCATCAGTCAGTATCATAAAGTATGCAACAAACATGGTTCTTAGCATCTGCAGCAAATTGCTGAATGTGTATTAAGTATGCTAATTAGAATGCATGTCATTTCCCATTCTTACAACAACCACACAGCACACATGCAGACATACAGGTACTAACTCTTCCAGACACACTCTCATTCATCTTTCATTACATTCAGACGTTCCGCACGAGGACACTGACGTGGAACAATCGTAATAACTCCAGCGCTAACATCATTGTTTATTTTGCAGCATCATTTCACAGGTCATCCATTTTCCAAACATTTTTAAATATAAAGTCTGCAAACGAAGCAACAAACTATACAGCATCAGTCAGCAATCAGCTTGCTTCAAGATAACAGACACTGAACTTATCGGTGAGATGTATGTGTATTTCCAAACCACTTCCTCATATCATAACAATCACCAATGCTACCAGTTCATGGAACTCCCCTTAATGGCATTAGCTAAATTGCAGATAACAAAAGACATGGCAGATCATGCCACCATTGCCATATCTACCAGAGAGTCACTGTCAGGATCATCATCATCATCTTCATCAATGTGGTTTGGTTCTCCTGGACTTGGCACATGTGGAGATGAAAGCATTGGATCACCATTTACAGGATGATCATCTTCCATTAAATCTTCTACTTGTGATGCACTTAGAGATGATGCATCTGTAATAACACCTTGCATCTGCATGCCGAATTGCGCTATGCTGCCATCTAACGTGTGACCAAGTAACTATTAAAGAGAGAAGGTGTATCAAATTATTTAAAGAGGGAACAGCTGTATCAGGATGGATAAAACTTGTATTGTCTGTGAACAATCTTGACTTGACTGCTTCTCTTCTGACAAATATCATGATCACTTTTACATATGAACTGCATGTTAAAAGCTAAAATTTCATAATTACAGTATTACGTTGGCTATTCAACATGTATTATCTTAGGGTGTGTTACATTTATGCACGTATTTATTACTTTGATACAGACTGTCTGAAATAAAAATGGAATAATACACAGAACATCTATTCTACTCACAACTGCCGGACCAACTGAGGTATCTATCCCACATACCACTTATTTAATTCTCACAGAAAAGACATCAGGGTTCAGTGTCTGTGTCCATCATGACATCTCAACTTTCACTTTTCATCGCATGAGAAATGTTTTCTTTCATATGTTTCTTTAGTATTTACAACAGATGAAAGTATCTACATGCAAGTTCCAGGCTATATGCTGGATGGACAAAATATTTTCAGCGGTCTATGGGGATGCTGCTGTTGAGAGTCCACTGAAAGCATTTTGGGACTCAGAGGTCATTCTTCTCTGAAAGTTACTGGCCTCATGGGGCAAGAATGAATGCATACTGCTACTGCACAACATTGGAGCACATGAATGAAGCAATCAGGATGAGATGTCTGTCTTACTCAGAGTTAATCCGTAATCCGTATTGAGGGGGTGGGTTTCCCCATGCACTCAGACCGGTTACTGGTCCATTGTGCATCCCCCTTTAATTTGTACTGTCTCCATACCCTACCGGTACTGGTGCTTACTATCAGTCCCTTTCTGCCAGCGAGGTTCCAACCTCTTACTGGCAGTGGTATCTAATAGTTAGTCCCTTTCTGTCAGCGAGGTCGTCCCTCCTCTGGCAGGGGTTCCTAGTCCCTTTCTGCCAGCAAGGTTTCTACCCTCTACTTGGCAGTGGTATCTAATACTTTAGTCCCTTTCTTTCAGAGAGGTCCCCCCTCCTCTGGCAGTGGTACCTGATACTTCCCCCATCTACCGGAGGAATTGGAAACTAGCTGGGCGGGAAACTTGGTCTAATTTTGCTCAGAGGTCTCCTAGAGACATGAGGTTCTTTTACGTGCCGTAAATCTACGACACGGGACCCACGGCTTAAAGTCCCTCCCGGAGGACTTGTTCCCTGAATTTTTCCGCCCTTAAAAATTCCACGACCTCCGCCGGGTTTTTGAACCCGCGTACCTTGAGTCATGAGGTGGGAACGTTACCCCTAGACTACGGAGGCCGCTTACTTAGAGTTAAAGTGACATTTCTCCTTGATAGTAGCCTCTCCACTACACCCCGTGCAACTCATGGAGCAGTTGAAGTCTTGCTCTGAGCCTAGTAATTTTCACTTCTTTGGATCAATGAAGAAAAATTTCAAATGAGAGAAATTTTAACATGATAATGGTGTGAAAGATCAGGTATGCTGGTGAATGCAGTCACTGAGTTCAGTCTACACACTCACACCCTACTTACATAAAATTGGTTTCAACATTATCCTTCCACTAACTCCAGATCTATAAAGCATTCTTTTTCCTTGATTTTCTTACAAATTTATTTCTTCATTTCTCCCATGCAAGCTACACCCTCCTTGATTTGATCACCCTAAGACTAAATATTAAAAAACATTTCAACTAAAAAAATTATTCCAAATTATAACACAAAACAAGAATAAACTATGACTGCCAAAGGGATCCAATATTCTTACAACAGTGAATATTAAGACTGGTCTTCTGGGATGTGACACTGTCCAGTCTGGTAGATGAGTACCAACACTTCAGGGCAGCAGTACTCTACAGACTACATAGTGTCACATTCCGGAAGACCTGAATCTTAACTATGATATTTATTCCAGATGTCAGAATACTGACTGGACATATCTTGAGAAAGTAACTAAACATTATTCAGATTGTAATAAATGTTGATATATGATATGAATACTAATGAACAAATTCAATGGGTGAATCATATAGGTAAAAAAAAATCACTCTTAATTTTCCCTGATAAATAAAACATAGTGACACACAAAAATTATACTTTACTCACGGGGTCTTGAATTATATGCTGGGATTTAAAGCAGCTGTTGATAACAGTTGACTGAGAACAGGGCTGCCACGCAAATTCAGACACTGGTAATCCATGTGATTTTGCTAGCAATTCCAACTCCTAAACATTAAAGTATATTTTATTACAAACATGTAATATACTAAATATTTTAATGTGTAAAGTTACTTCAAGGTTTGAAATCATATGGCATTTACATTTGGTTTGAACATTCTGCCAAACTTTGAGACTTGGCGGTTCGATAAATGCAAATGGAGATGACACCAAGACACAAATACCTAACTTACTTACCCAACTCCATGGACCTCAGCCCTTCTTGAAGCTGCCAGTTAAGAAGTTATTAAAAAAAATTCCCAAAATTTTATGGAACCCAAAGGTTCATTACTGTGTTCACATGAGCCCTCCACTGGTCTTTGTCCTGGGCCAACTGAATACAATCCATACCCAACCCATACTATCTCCCTAAGAACCATTTTAATATTATTCACCCAGCTACCTCTACACCTTCCCAGTGGTCTCTTTCATTCTGTCTTTCCCACCAAAATCCCACATGTATTCTGCTTAGCCACCATTGGTGATACTTGCCTTGCCACCTCAGGCTCCTTGACTTGGTCATTCTAAGTATACTTGGAGAAGAGGACAAGTTATGAAGCTCCTCAATATGCAGTTTTCTCCAACCTCCAGTCACTTCATCCTTCTTTGGTCCACATATCCCCCTCAACAACATGTTCTCAAACACCCTCAGTCTATGTTCCTCCCTTAATGTCAGAGACCAAGATTCAAACTCTTACAGAACCACGGGCAAAATTATAGTTTTGTATATTCTAATTAGTACATTTTCAACATCAGGCAAGAAGAAAAATGGTTCAGGAATGAATGGCAGCAAAGATTACCTGAATTCTGTCTCCTCTTAATTTCATCCTGAATCAAATTTTGATCTAACAATGTCGTTTCCACATACATGAACTTGTCATTCTACCAATCCCTCAACATAAAAACTAGCATATTATTACAAAATGTTAAGAGATGGGACCAAACTTTGACTGTGCCCAAGTAGGGTTCAGTGGCAAGTTCTTGTAAACACAGTAACGAACATTCAGGTTCCACAAGTGGAGGTAAATTTCCTGAATGAGCAGGTCCTCACATAGGACACGTACTTTATATAGATTTGGTCAGTCGGTCAGTCAGGTGGTTGGAAAATTGATCCAAATGTGAGAATTCAAACAAAGAATATGAAACTCAAATATTTAAAAAGCCATATCCACATAACAAGATGTGCACAGTGGCAGTACGTCCAACCGCCTAACAAAATGTCCAAAGTAATCATCTAAATTCAAGATGCAGAGTCTTTCGTGAAAAGCTGGTGGCTACTCAGCTGGTCAAGACATTTCATCCCTTCATGGAGCCAAAAGTTTGTTACTGTATTCATTAAAGACTGCCACTGGACCTTAGATTGAGCCAAGTGAATCCAACTTACACCCTCAATCCTGCTTCTACAGTACTAGCCTCTCCACTACGCCTGTATCTCCCAAGTTGCCTTACCTTGAGATGCAAGACCCTTGAAGCTTTATTCCTTTCAGTACCACATTTTGAGGCCTAAACAGATATTTCTATCTTGTCAATAGCAGATATCTTGCTGTGTCTCCAGGAGTAGTCTCAAAACTCAAAATTTTTCTTACTCATATGCTTTCGCTGTCTTTAGCCTCCATTGAAAATACAGATTCGTTTAACTTTACTACAATTCTCTTCAGCTGTTTATGAATCCTATTTTTGTGTTTGTTTTAGTAAAACAATTACATTAAGGTTCAGACTTCACAAAAAAAAGTAAATAAAATTATTGACACAGGTGCTTTACGATGGGGTACCCAAAAGAAACCAAACTAATTTTTTTGCTGGCAGAGCTTTTGTAGTACCGCGTTTTGCCGCTATGAGCGCATAGAGCTAACATTCCTGAGTCAATAAGCCGACTACCGTTGCTTCAGAAGGTAAGGACTAGTTTCGGCAGAGTGTAGAGTGACAACTGTTTTGTGTGATCGTCGTTTTTGCAATGGCCCGAACACATGAAAATGTTGAAAAAATTCGTGAAATCATCAAGGAAGATCGACGACGGACCACTGAAGAAATTGTGGAGCTGTCGGGAGTGACTTGGAGCTCAGTTCAGCGAATTTTGACAGAAGATTTGGGAATTAAAAGGGTGGCTGCAAAATTCGTGCCACGACTGCTGAACAAAAACAAGGTCGCGTGGAAGCATGCTGTGCTTTGAAAGAAGAGTCCCGAAATGATCAAAACTTTTTTTCAGCGTTTTGCTGATGTTGCTGAGGTGAAGGGAAAAAACGACGGAGGCGCTGTCAAGCATCTCAAAAGATGAATTTAGACAATGTTTTGAAAAATGGAATAAAAGACTAGACAAGTATATTAGTGTAAGTGGAGAGTACTTTGAAGGGGATTGAAGGTTTGTGCTTAAAATTTGAATAAATAAGTTAAAAAAATAAGTTCGGTTTCTTTTGGGTACCCCCTCGTATGTTGACCGCCTCTGTGGTCTAGTGGTCATAGTTCCTGGCTACAGATCCAGAGGTCCGGTATCGATTCCCGGCGCTAACAGATTTTCTGAGAAGTAGTGGGCCTGGAACAGGGTCCACTCAGCCTCACAAGGATAACTGAGGAGCTATTTCAAGGAAATATAGGTTCCGGTCTAGAAAACGGAGATTAACGGCCATGGGGAACTGTTGTGCTGACCACGTGACACCCTCTATCCGCTAAAGTTAGCACTAACTTCGCTGACAAGCGGCGGTCGCTCGGTTGCGGACTACAGGCCACGGAGTTTATTTGATTTTGTTTCGATGCTTTACGTTATGAAAATATATGTTTAGGAGGATGCCAATGAGACTAATTGTAGTTTTAAAAAAGGAAAGCTACCCCACCGTCATACTCTCTCTCCTATCCTTCCATTACGCAACAGCTGAGATGATAAAGGGGTGTACCTGAATTCTGAGATACAAACGCCGGTTCTGAAGTTCAAGCTGCTTTTGCCTTGCTTCCACTTGTTTCATTCTCTGCACCTCAAGTTTCAGAACCTTGATGTAATCAACTGATGATTTCAGGATGGTCCCCTTGTTGGGTCGAACATCTCGCACAATTTCATAGTACCTTACATAAAAAATAAATAATCATAATCAATTTATTCTTATTTATTTCCAAATTAACAGCCCAGAGGCCAATTACACTAATGCATTTAAACTTAAGGTAATGAGAAACATGGTTATGTATGTCAAAATGAAATAATTTTGAAAAATTATTAAGAATTGAGATGGGTAATTGCTAACAGAGGCACAACTGCCTCTACTGAAGCCGGGAAAAATTGCCAATTGCTTCCATAATATAGGAAAATACTCCTGAGATATTCTTAGATTAAAAATGTTTCAGGACAGGTACAGTATATCAGAACAACCCTTAATAACAAATAATGTTATCAAGAGAATACCCCACAAGAACAATTAATAATACTAATGATACATTTATAATAATCATATAATGTTTTTTTTGTCACAATATGACATAACAGCTGTATTCACTGCATCCCAATGATCATGTGTTGCTTTCATTTTGTTCATCATGGCAATTTGTAGCAGACAGAAAAGCTGGAAAGGAAACAATAGCATATGTAATTTGTCCTGGATATGTCAGACGACCACATATGTGTGTTAGTTTTGGTGTGTGTATGTGTGTGTGAGGAGGGGGGGGGTTGGGGTGGAAATACAAAATGAGCATATTCAGCATCAGCATAAATAAAAACCAGAACTGGAAATTGACACATTCAAGAGTGGCCAGCAAACACACCAGATGGACATGAGTATATTCAGGGTTGCTTCTTTAAACATTCAGAAAAATCCATGTGTCCTAAGTACATGCTTATGCTAACATAAGTCAGATGGCATGCTGAAACAAGTATGTACGTGAGTCCACTTTGCAAGGATTAATAAACTAGAAGGGAACCATAAAGTCCGGGAGGTAGAGAAACAATCTTAGGATCTACCGACACCGATATTACCTCATATTTCTACAGCGTGATGTAGAAGTAAGTAAAAAGTAAAGGTACCCCTGTAACAGACCTTGGAGGCCTACAGGGTCGTGAGATGTTGAGGTTCCCACATTTTCTAGACAGTTGGCTCATAGATGGCGGTAAGGTTGTCAGCCCTACGCGCTGGCCACCCTTTACCCCTAAGAACATTCAAAGAATATTCCTGGTACTTGTTTCTGTTAGAGGCTGAGTCGACCCCAGGGCCATGGTGCGGCTGGAAGGATTAAGTACATTGAAAAAATGCAATGACATTACGATTCGATCCCGCGACCTTCCGGCTTGTAGCATAGTGCCTCAAGCAACTACGCTACCGCGTGCCCCCACAATGTGATGTAACATGAGCATATACATTTTGCAGATCTGTATGAATTATTCATCTCACATGTACCCACCAGAGGTGTAAGTTCTTTTCAGACAGGTGAGCAAATGGTACATCTTCATGCCATCTGAACTAATGTAACACATCTATATCCAAATACTTATGCATGCATGAAACGTTACATTTTCAGTTATGTATGATTAACATTACTTACGGATCATTGTTTTTAGGAAGAAGGGTTCCCAGTTCTTTGATTCGGTCATTGATATTGAAACGTCGCCGTCTTTCAACTGAAAGAAATTAATAATATCACTATAAAATCATAATTTGTGTGCATTGGCTGAATTACTCCCAATACTATGCCATGATCATTAAATGTATGGGTATTTATTGACAATCTTACAGTAATGAAGGTTTTCAGCTAAGAATTAAGATAGTGGAATATTATGATCCACTTTGTTAGAAAGTGTCAGAAATTGATGGAGCTTCAGTGTTGGCTAACACTTTGAAAAAAAATGAAATAAAATATTACGTTTGTGGTTCAATGGTAATCCATGTATGGGCAGAAGAGGAAATCAAATGATATATGAGATAATATACAGAGTCTGTCATATCCATCCACCCAATCACGGGCTTGCTGCCATTTCCCAGTGGCTTACATTGCCCTTTCTGGGCGCAGACACAATTAAAAGGCACGATAGTGTATACGCTTGAGGGGAGGTGGCAGTGAATGACATTCCAAGCTGTCGAAAGCCACGCATATTACAAAAGATTGGAAATATTAACATACTTCAGTTGCTTGGGAACATCATGATATTCTGCAAAACCTCCCTTTAATTTTTATTTAAAAGTATTTTCATAAATACTGGTGAAAACCACCACTCCCCAAATATTTTTAAAATTATGCAAGTCGAAAGAAATGACATTAGCTACCGTTTCCAAAAAACAGTGAAAAGACGTGAGCAAGAACTTCAAAAAGGTTTGGTCAGAAAATGAGAGCTGCAAGGAAGGAATCGGGATGCAAAAAGAAGACTTTATGTGTGTTCCAGTGGCAATGAGACTGTTATAAATCCACTGCCAGGATGTGACTAGTGAAGACCAAGAACAACAGTTCTTGTGTAACCATAAACTGTGAAGTGTGTAGATTTGTCATAACGCTGTAATACTTGTAGTTTTGAGATGAGTGTGTAAGGTGTCAATAAATACAAACATTCCATCCACACCCCATTTATAGTCACAACACCAAAACGTGACAATAATGATCCAAGAGCTCCTTATCTCCGACTGCAGTCTGGAATGATTGACGTTATGTAGAGAGAGCTGACCAATCAATTCTTCAAAATTCTTATACTAAAGTTCCTTTCACTTCTAGAATTTGGAACCGTTAAACACTACTCTGAATAGTTTCCAGATACTGCTCATGAGTCATAATTTAAACCATACGAATGGTATTTGGATTATGTGTATCTTCTGAAAAATTAATTTTGCATTATTTATTCACTGGAAGAATTGTTATGAATATGTAAGACTAAAGTATTTAATCACTTCACATCTAAATATGGAATTACCAGACACAGATCATCTGCCTTGTTATTAGTGATTCCAACACGCAGCGTGTCTGCTGAATGGATACTCTCTGCTCTGAATATCCATAGCTAATCTTCACAGCATGCAAGCTGAGGAAAAACTCACTAATACACTCAACCACTAATTTTTTTTATTGCTAGTGGGGTGGGACTAAGTCCCTTGTACTATGGCCACTTCTGGCCTATTGTACCAGCCCCAGATGATAGGTGAGGGTGATTGTGGAGCAACTGGTGGAATGAAGATTGGCAGGGGAAACCAAAGTACTTGAAGAAAACCTGCCCCAGCGCCACTTTGTCCACCACAAATCCCAACTGACCAGGCCCGGGATGGAACCCAGGCTGCCACGGTGGGAAGCCAGGGACTAACCGCTTGGGCTATGGCACGGCCTCACTCAATCACTAAGTTATCATTAATGACACCTGAGAAGAAAATTCTTCAAGACATAGGTAACAGTCCAAACTTCTGTGTCTTTGTGAGATATACTCGTATTTTCACTGAAGAAACAAAACTGTAGGAGGAGAATACAAGTACCAGGTGCAATAAAAAGATAGGCAAGCTCAGCAGTCAATAACCATTTTTTCCCAGATTATTTTCTTACCATTTTATCTTTAACTTAATTAATTCTTAGCTGACAGTTGCAAAGTTTTCTTATGCGATGTGCCTCGGGATTTGGCAAACAATTTCAAATGTCATGTTCAACCACTGAAAGCCATAACAAGAGAAGTTCTACAGAATATCTCATCAGTATGGAACTGTTCATCTTCTTTGTGTCAAAAGCTCTGAGTGAAGGCAATGAGTAGGGAAGAAAACGAGCATATAATTCTGCTATGTGGGGATCACAATCAGTTAGATGACGAAAATATGCAATGTTGAGCGTCTTCTAGAGTGAAATTTCTTTGCAGGCAGTAAGAACACGCCGTAAAACATTCAAACTGTTGTTTTGGGTTGGAAATGAACACTTGAATGTTTGCTCTGGGGTGAATGGTGTACATATTGAGCACATTCTGTAACACCAATGCCAAAACTCAAACATTTACTATGGTTCCAGATATATCGGAGACACTGCATTATGACATTTTTACATACTACTAATTACTATAGGATTGAATTTTTTATGAATCTGTTTTCAAATACAATGGTTCAAACGTCAACACAAAAACTCTTCACTGGATCGTATACTGAGACAGTTCAACTGAATGTATACCACCACTTCCTTAAAATCCATCATTATATCAAACTCACATCTCCAACAAGCATTCACGTTCCCATCATATCCTCCTTAACTTGACTATCCTAACTACATTAAGGGAAATGAATAATCCACAAAATTCATAAATATATAGCAATTTACTTCCCCTGGATCCAAATATTTTCATCAGAATGTTGTTTTGAAGAACTGTCATTTTATGTTTCCCTCCAGCAGAATGATACACCTTGTTCCAAAACTAAACAAGNTTTGTGTGTCCTCCCAGAGGAGAAGACACCCTTTGTCAAAAAGAAAAAAGGGGGGGGGGGGGGGGGGGGGGGCAGAGCAATAACGCTAGTCTTTTGGAAAATGGACAAAATGGTAACATTTTTTAGTGCAGAATAGTTATTATAATTTCCTAAATTTATTCTTCTTTTAATTTCACTGCCAACTTCATTTTGTAATGCTTCAATATCTGATACTATAACATAAAGTGCTTACAGATTATATATTTAATACCACATAAAAATAAATTGAATAAGAATTAAGTTTCACACTTACTCATATTATGATTGTCCTTCTTTTGCCTATCTTTGGCAATTGCATGCATTTCAGCATCACTAAGCTGAAGTGGTTCTGGCTTAACTTGCGGAAGATCAGGCGGGCAAGAATTGCTTGTTTTGAGTGGTCCATTTCCAAATGCTATTAGTTGTTCATAGAAACTTCCACTCCCAACCTGAAATAAATGTAAACAACCTTGTAGTTATGCTGTACGCTATAAGATCTGCTTCAAATCATACTCCAATTCAATCTTTTGGTAACACGATCACCTTGAAGGGACTATGGACACTCACATCGCCGGATCTAACATCCTCTGATTAGTTACTATAGGATTCTGACGATGGTGTATAACACACTGATATGTTGGGATTTTGGACTTTATCCATTGTCCTGGTTTTTAGGATAACCAATAAAAACACGACGTTTCGGAAACTGGATCTGTTTCCGTCCTCAGGTGAAGGAAAACACCTATTCAGTTGGGTCCCTTCGAAAGAGCTAGCCTCAATCACTGGACCAACCAGGACGATGGCTAAAGTCCAAAATCCCAACATATCAGTATCCTCTGATTACTCTAGAATTTTCTTTAAAAAAAAGTGTACCAGAATAATCCAAAAAGATTAAATAAAAAATGAATATTGAAAAGGCCATCACTGGCAGAAATTCTTATAGATTTGTCTCTTAACACACGGTAAAAAAGAGCGATGTATATATTCAGAACACAGGATGGTTCCAGTGTGTTCTGCGAACACCGAGTTAGGTGCATATTCAGAGATACAAAGCTGAATGCTTAACATATTAAAACACAATGCACGTAGTGGAATCCAATTATGAATACTGAGATACATAGCTCCTAAACTGAACATCAGACTACCAAATGTTGGCACCTGCGTTCCAAGGAATTAATACAAACACATTCCCAACTACTGTATTATGATAACGTGTCAAAACACATAAATTTCAATCACTTCTTTTATGAAGTCTATACATCTGGTGGTTTGATGGATTTTATGGAAGGACATGAATTCATACAAGCATACTAAACAAGCATCTGGAATTCTTTACTTCCAAATTCCAAGCTACATACCATCATTTTTATTATATCAGACGTAATTTAATTAGTCTCATGTGGAAATGATATAAGGCTGAGAGCTTAGATGAATGTAATGTATTATTAATGATATGCATGTACGTGCTTATGCACTGGAACTGTAGCACCTTCATAAACTAACTCTACAATTTTTACTTTAAAAACAAATTCCGTTTCAGTTCAATTGATTATACTTCGAACATATCACATTTTTACATGAAGAGTATGTGAATTTATAAATATGCATGGTTAAGTAAGCAATCCCTGTACCAGGAAGTGGAGGCCCATAGAGTTGTGAGACGTAAAGGCTCCCACATTTTCTAGAAAATCGGCAACAGATGTCACTGAGGTTGTCAGCCTTCCACGCCGGGCCCCTTTTACCCACGGGAATACTCCTGTTACTCATTTGTGTTACAGGTTGAGTCGACCCCAGGGCCATAGTGCGGCTGGAAGGATTAGGTCAATTGGGAATCGAACCTGCGACCTTCCAGCTTGAAGCATAGTGCCTCAAGCAACTATGCTACCACGTGACCCATATATAAGTATATGCATGACAACACCAATTTTAAGAGGAACTGGTAATTTTATTTATCTCTCGTTTATTTCATAGCTAATTACATATTAAATGGCCGGATGCCCAATAAATCCTGAATTCGAAAAGATGTGGAAAAAGTGTTCTTGACATTGGCACTGGCCTGAAGGGACTGAGTAAAACCATGGAATGCCTCAACTGGGATAGTCAGTGTCATTGCCAAGATTCAGAACAGGCACATCATGAACACAAATTAGAAGTGTTACCAACAGAACTAACTTGCTTGATGCAAAACAAATGACATTTTTATTTCTGGGAAAGAACAGACAGCTGAAAGGAAAAATTTATAATTTAATTTTCATGAGTGCCCCGAGAAATTACACTAATGTTGCAGTTCCAAAGTCACCAGCCTTGACATTTTATGGCATTTTTGAAACTGAAGTTTCAAGAGTGCTACAGCAGAAAGCCTAACTATATGTAGATATTACAATTCTCCCATAAGAGGATACTATTGTTGTGCAGGGTAACTCAATTTTCTTACTTGCTCCTTGCAGTTAAAAGTCAGAATAGATAAAAACAACCATAAATATTAAATTTTCAGGCTGCACAAAACAGGGAAGAGACTGAAAATAATTATGGTCTAATGAGGATGTTTTTTAGATGCAAGTTACCAATCAATATGCTAATACAGTAGTTCCTTACCTGAATATCTGGAGAAATATTCAGTGCTGAATCTGTGACTTTAATATTATCCGATGCCAATGAACTGGCTTCAAAAGCCAAAATATCTTCCAGGACCTCCTCAGCCTAAAAAGTGAAGAAGAAAAAAAGTTGCTTGAATGTCTACAAAAAATATATTTGTCTCATTAGACTGCATTTTATTTCTGAAGACACCTAAGTCAGCAGTACACCATGTCACTTTGGTTATACTTTTATGAAATGCAGGAACAATAACACAAGCCCGGTATGAAAAATACCGCAGTTCCTTTAGGAGCGGAGTCACTCAGCAGCTACGGTCACAGTGTGTGTCTCACTTCTATCAAGTGTCACAATAAAATCAAACTTCCTCTTGCATCTTTCACACTGCATTTCTGTATATATGATCACATCATGTATGTGTCAAAGTCTGTCTTCACACTTCCCATAACAATTTTACTTCTCCAGAATTCATGTCAAGAGTAATGAGTCTTTCTGTACAAACTGAAGTCTGTAAATCTGTTGCCAATATAAAACTGTTCTTAGAAGTTCGCCTCCATGCGAGGATGTGAGCCCGGAAGTAGAGGAACGTCCGCCGTTGGGCCGCGCCATAGCTCAAGCGGTTAGTCGCTGGCTTCCCGGGTCTGGTCAAGCGGGATTTGTGGTGGACAAAGTGGCGCTGGGGCAGGTTTTCTCCGAGTACTTCGGTTTCCCCTGCCAATCTTCATTTCACCAATTGCTCCACAATCACCCTCACCTATCATCTGGGGCTGGCACAATAGGCCAGAAGTGGCCGCAGTACAAGGGACTTAGTCCCACCCCACTAGCAATAAAAAAAAAAGTCCGCCGTTGGAAAGCGTTACCCAGAAACGTGCTTCAGGATACTAGTCAGTGTCATCATAAAACTAAAAACTACCCTCAGTGATTTTAGTCCGCAAGCGAACTACCGGATGCGGTAATACAGAACAGTCTATTTCTTATTTAGTCATGGGAACATCCACATCAGCTACGTCAGCAGATAATAGACAAAAATATTATAAACAAATATATCTTTATTTTGATATTTAGCTTTTGCTGAAAGTCTCAGAAAATATTTATTACTGTATAAAACACTTCAACAGTGTCCTGTGTAGTGGAAAATTACTTGGGCTGCAGTCGAATGAGTATTTCCATATGTCCCCACCCCCCAGTATAAGAATTTGCGTGGGAAATTCTATTTCACTGACTTGTGTTGACGTTATATACACCAGTACCCCTTACAGGTATGAAGATTCTTGTACTAAGTTTGTGTCACGTTTAAACTTGCACACCTCTTCGTACTGCAACCGTTCACAAGTAAAGGAAAACGGGTGTAATAACATTAAACCTTTCTCGTTACATTCACCTGCATCCTTTCTGGTCTAAATTAGAAGCAGAGGAAAAGGCTTGTTTCTGTCTTAAGTTGCAAACAGACAAAAATATATATTAGTACACAAAATGTTGTTTCAGATCTGGTATAAGAATTTTCGCTTTGTTGACGGGAACATTTCTAGTGGACCTATGTTCCACGTGCTTGTTCCTGGCATTAAAGTATCGATTCGATTGGAAATAAATGGCGCAAAGCGCGTTTCGTAATCGTCTCCATATCGTACCACATACGAGTATTTTCCTGTCTGTGACTGATCAGTGACAGTATGCCAGGCTGGATCCGTTGGAGGGACGAGAGAACTTGCGGGGTTACAGGCAACGTGAGTAAGTTGTTGTTGTTGTTGTTGTTGCTGTTGTTATTGGAGAGGGTGGGTTTCCCATGCACTTAAACCAAATACTGGTCCATTGTGCGTCCCCCTGTGATATTCTACCAGTCTCTATTCCGTACCGATACTGGTGCGTGCCAGTCAGCGAGTTCGGCCTCTACTGGCTCAGCGGTATCTCGATGCTTCCCCCATCTACCAGAGGCGTTAGAGACTACTGTTGGGCGGGAAATGTCCTGAATTTGGTTCAGAGGTCCCCTTGGGACATGAGGTTCTTTTACGTGCCGTAAAGCTACGACGCGGGACCCACGGCTTAAAGTCCCTCGCGGAGGACTTGTTCCCTGAATTTTTCCGCCGTTAAAAATTCCACGACCTCCACCGGGTTTGAACCCGCGTACCTTGAGTCACGAGGTGCGAACGTTACCCCTAGACTACGGAGGCCGCTAACGTGAGGAAGTTAGTATGGCAGGCTGTTCTCAAATATACGACTTAACAGGTGTTAAGTGTGTGACTGTTGGTAACTTTGTACACGGAAAGTTGTTCTGTACATTTTGCAGCAAAAGGAACTTTCCCTTTACACGAACAACCTGTCTCACAGAGCTGTTTGTAAATTGTATTCCTGAACGGCTTAGAAACTGAATCCATTTTAGCGTCGTTGCATTCGTTTCAGACTTTTGCTTTTATTGCACACGCAGTGGCGGCTCGTGTCCTAAATGGTTGGATGGGCTAAAATACAAATTAATTTGATGACTTGGTATTTCTTGCATGGTATTGATGGATATGATGACAATATTAATAATAACTGTGATGGTGATAATAATATCTAAGGGTGATTTTAAAAATTAAATTTCCTTTTGAGTAATCGGTCTTGAAAGCCGTGTCAGTACTGTTCCCATTACACCACATGTTTCAAGACAATTCATAAAGATTACGTGAAACAGTGAATTCGTTTAAAGTTACCGTATTTATAAAGAAACTGTCCATTTAGATTTTTCTGTGATGCAAACAACTCGATTCGCTTAGTGGGGGGTGGAGTCCTGCTGGGTCCACTCGGCATAGCGGCCACTGATTGGCCTATTGTAGCCTGCCCCGGGTGATTATGATGATGGAGAATTTGGTGGAATGAAGATTGGCAGGGGAAACCGAAATACTGGGAGAAAACCTCCCCAGCGCCACTTTTGTCCACCACAAATCCCACTTGACCAGATCCGGGATCGAACCCGGGCCGCCACGGTGGGAAGCCAGCGACTAACCGCCTGAGCTATGGCTGACGGCTGGTTGATTCTGTATTTCAGTATCCTGTGGGACATCTTTAATTAAACGTCAGTAATGTAACAATCATTAAAATATTCACAGACAGCCGTCCTCGAGCGTCTGTGGCCACAACATATTGTGTTAGTGTTGAATGGCGAATATTTTAATGATTGTTGCATTACTGACGGACTAAATACATAGACGTTTAAAATTCAATTGATTTTAATTGTAATGCGCATTTTTCTTGTTGTGTTGACGGATACGTTACCTAACCATACATGCCTGTTTTGTCCAGAAGCTAATTGTGGCGCCAACTGGACAGAATGTCCACAGAACCAGAAAGATTACATTTTATATAATTCTCAATTTGAGTTGTAGAGGCGTCTTGTTCTCTTCGTTCATTCCGATACATTTTGATGCCTGTCACAGTTCACTTACTTTCGCCTCCAAACAAAAGTCACACGAAACGGAAGAATGATTTATTTTCCTCAGTTACAGTCAAGCATCGCTTCTTATCGAACCAGCACGAGGAGAATGACCTATTTTGATTGTTGGTGTCCTTCTGAAGTTTAAAGTCTGAAGGTTTATTTTTTATATTTCTTCTGTATTTAAGAGGGAAAATGAGCTTTCAGAAATACGTTTTACTCATTATTCACTGATACCAACAAAATCACCAGCATTGGTAACAGAATACTCTATGTTGTTCCTAATAACACAACTGCGCACTTACTTTTGCCGTGTAATAAGAATGCTTTGCTTCTAATGTGAAGAAAAGAAATTTACTGCACTTTACACTAATGGCATTAATCATGCCAGTAGAGCTGCAACGTGATCAACAAAACAACGGGGATCGCTTCGCATACCAAAACAAAAACAAACTCCGCAAACGAACTATACCGACCGAGCGACCGCCGCTTGCCGGCGAAGTTAGTGCCAATTTTAGCGGATAGAGGGTGTCGCGTGGTCAGCGCAACTAATTCCCACGGCCGTTAATTTCGGTTTTCTAGACCTGAGCCGCTATTTCCTTGAAATAGCTTCTCAATTATCCTCACGAGGCTGAGTGAACCCCGTTCCAGAAGCCCTACTTCTCAGAAAATCTGATAGTGCCGGGAATCGAACTCGGACCTCTGGATCTGTAGCCAGGAACTCTGACCAACAGACCACAGAGGCGGTTATTATTATTATTAGAGTCGCAATGCAAGCAATTTGGGAAATATGTGGTTTGGTTTGGAAAGGATATTCATCTTCTATTCAGCTTGTGGTTGACAGTAGACATTTGGTCGAATCTTGAAAAGTTCCTGATGAATTAGCTACTTCTGATTTGGTTGCCTATAAAGCTCCTAAGGTTCGGCCACACAGAGCGCTACGTACGCTATGTACACTCTGCGACGCATATAACATAGGGAACATAGCGTACGTAGCGCTGTGTGGCTGAACCTTTAAGCGCTTGAGAGCACCCGCGGCTTTGTTATTACGAGCTGTTTTGACACCTTCGTACAGGTTATGAAACATATTTTTAATATTATGTAGTTTACCTCAGAAATATTTTCCCACACTCCTGAAGAAGGCGGCAATTGTTCCTGTTTTGAAAAAAAAAATAAAATGGAGTAACAGTGTCTCAGTTAGCAATTATCAACATATATTCTAATTTTTTCCGAATTGAACTTTCTATTTATGACCATGTCTCAGGCTACATAGAATTTAAATCAAATTCTTGCCAACATGATTTCTATAAATCTACACGTACCTACCAACTTGGTTACTTATCTTAATTTTATTACCATTACAGTTGGCTCCTATCGTCAGTCTGATGTAATTTATTTTCAACTTCGCAGTGCATTTGACCGTAACCCTTACTTCTTCAAAGGTTTAGCGCTTTTGGATTTTCTGGTGGTTACATAAATTGGTTTCGCAGTTACCTAACCAACCGGCAACATCAGGTCCGTATATCTTGAATACAATCGCCTCTAGAAGTATTCTCCGGTGTTCTTCAAGGACCTGTTCTATGACCCCTCCTTTTCAATGTGTTTGTTAATGACTTTGCGATGTAATTAAGTACTCTAGGTACCTTCCTACTGCTGATGATATCAAAAGCTACTGTGTCATTTAATCTCCAAAAGATTGTAA